GGACACAGGGCATCAAGTGAACATACAGTGCAGTACAACATTTTGATGGCACAGCAATCTGGAGAACATGTTCCCGAGAATACTAATGCAGGTACTTTGTCGAGTCCAGTTCCATCAAATCAGACAGCTACTAGGTTACCATATTCAGAAACTTCAGCAACGTCTTTCTCCTCATCAACAGGGGCATCTCAGAATGTTTCTCAAAGTCCATCAACACTTGCTGTCGTCATGGGGCCAGGGAATGAAACTGTTGAACATACATCAACAACTGTATCGAGTAATCAAGACAGAACAACCAATGTCACTGATACAACAAGGTTCCTGACAAATCAGCAACTAGTTTCGTTTATGCCAGCGTCTTTAAATGCAGATGTGGTTACAACTGCATCCGAGTCAACCTTTACTCAGGAACAGTCGACACTCAACCCAATTCCAACTGAGATGACAATCACACCTATATCGACTGTAGGACCACAGGGACAAACGACACCAATTCAGCAGAAAGTTGTCGCTCCGAAGGATCAAGCATCGCGGGATTTGAGTAAAAACACTCTCCATGATAAAACATCACTTGATTTAACATCAAACCACATCTATGCAAGCAACACTGATTCACTGAAAAACAGTAAAAAGCAATTGATTAGTGACTTGTTTATTTATGAAAACATTGTTGGGGCTGCTCAAGAAAACGTTAAAGCAGTATCAGAAGGATCATACAACCTGACAGATCTGGGCTCAGCTAAGGCCCCAGTCACCGTGAAGAGTCCCGCTGATACCATAGCCCCAGGTGCACGCACATCTGCCTCAGGGATAACTGGAACAACACGAGCAACCGTTGCACCCCAGGCCGCTTCCCACCCAATTTCAAATGAGTACCCGGAAACAACTTTATCTGCAACACAAGGCAAAACATCAGTCACAACCGTTGCATCTCGAGGGGAAACGTCAGGCACAACCATTGCAGCTCAAGGCGAAACGTTAAGCACAAGCGTTGCAGTTCAAGGCGAAACATCAGGCACAACCATTGCAGCTCAAGACAATAAGTCAAGCACAACTATTGCAGCTCAAGGCGAAACGTCCGGCACAACCATTGCAGCTCAAGGCGAAACGTCAGGCACAACCATTGCAGTTCAAGGCGAAACATCAGGCACAACCATTGCAGCTCAAGGCGAAACGTCAGGCACAACCATTGCAGCTCTAGGCGAAACGTCCGGCACAACCATTGCAGTTCAAGGCAATAAGTCAACCACAACTATTGCAGCTCAAGGCGAAACGTCAGGTACAACTATTGCAGCTCAAGGCGAAACGTCCGGCACAACCATTGCTGCTCAAAACGAAACATCAGGCAAAACCATTACAGCTCAAGACCAAACAAGTGCCACCGTTGTATTCCAAGGAGAAACAAACTCTGCAATAAAAGATCAGAGACAGGAGATAGCTTCCCATCCACTTCCGTCTGGGACATCAGTAACAACGCCATCTTCAACGCTAGACACAAGCGTAGCTATCCAAGGAGATACAACAACCAGGCCCACTGCACAAAGAGTAACAACAGCCAAGATCACTGGCCCTGAAGGAGAAACCACTGGCACACCCACTGCAACTCAAGGTCAAACAACAGCAGCACCAACTTCAACTCAAGGCGTAACAACTGATGCACCAACTCTACCTGAAGTAGAAACAACAGCCGCATCAAAAATAGTAAGTGGAAGCGAAACCACAGGCTTAACACATATAGCCGAAAGCCATACAGCGGGCACAACATCTGCAACCCAGAACCAAACCACAGTCACTACTGCCTCACATGTCCACATCCCTAATCTACCCGCTTCATCGACCTCAATGGTTAGCCCGTCCAGTGTCAACACAGCAACTACGGTTCAAAACATGACTGTAGAAAGAGCTCGGGCTGTATTGGCAGGTAGTGTCAAAACTTGTCCATACGAGTTAGTCCTTGCTGTTTTGAAACTGGACGAATATAAAGCTTCATCGAGACAGTCAAGTACAAGTGGACCCTCAACACATATTCCTACAACTGCAACCGTTGCAGCTCAAGGCGATACGTCAGGCACAACCATTGTAACATCCCATACCCTTCCGCCTGTAACAGTGCAATTGACATCTTCAGCACCAGGCATTACCACTGCTGATGTAGGCGAGACATCGAAACCAACCATTACAGCCTCCCATCCCCTTCCATCTGAGACATCAGTAACAATAACATCATCACTGCCGGGCACAGCCACTTCTACTGTAGGCGAAACATCAAGCACAACCTTTTCAGCTCAAGGCGAAACGTCAGGCACAACAATTGTAACATCCCATACCCTTCCGCCTGTAACAGTGCAATTGACGACTTCAGCACCAGGCATTACCACTGCTTCTCAAGGAGAAACATCGAGCACAACCATTGCAACTTCCAATCCTATTTCTTCCGAGACATCAGTGACAATGACATCCTCACAACCGGACACAACCACTGCTTCTCAAGGCGCAAGGTCTAGCACAACCATTTCAGCTCAAGGCGAAAGGTCTAGCACAACCATTTCAGCTCAAGGCGAAGTGTCAGGCACAAACATTGCGTCGTCCCACCTCTTTCCTTCGAGGGCATCTTCGCAGTCAGCCACAACAACTACTTCCCAAGGCGAAACGACTGACGCACCTTCTGTACCGCAAGTTGAAATAACGGGCACGACAATTCCACATGCAGGCCAATTCTCAACTTCAGCGAAACAGCTGAGTACCAGTGGACTCTCAACACAGCTTCCTACGGCTGCAACTACCAAGGTACCCGGGATATCATCTAATATAAACACAGCATCACGATCAACAAATTCACCCCAAACCTCAGGCAGTTTCAGCACTGAAACAACCAACGCCATAGCAACGTCAACTGAGAAAGAATCCTCAAGTAGTACCAACAGCAGTACCATGAAGGAGGGGACTATCACAGAGCCTCCCACAACATCAACGCCCGCGGCGACAACTGCAGCCAACATTATTACAACAAATGAAGCATCTGGACTTGTACGTCGTTAATAGTTGCTCTGACACGCTATTGCTTCACAAGCGCTTGCTTAATGTCAATGTGCCCCATTCTAAAGTCAGGATATGCTTGGAATGTTTGTTGGGAAGACAGATAATATAGTAATGCTTCTTTAAGATAAGGATCCATGGTCAAGCGACCTTCATGCAATGGTAAATTGCGTCTTCGAGAATGACTTCATGTGCATTTGTGAGTGAAAGCTGGATTAACAGGTGGTATGAAACAAGTGGCTTACGTCTTTGAGTATTAGTCTTCTTGTCATTTTGTTGAGCAGAAGATTTATTTGTGTGAAACGGGATGTTGTATAATGTTGTTTATGCTTATAGTCCAATGTTATAAATATGTCTTTGTATGCTTTAGTTTTCATCTTAGTTTGCATATACCATCCTATCCTGTGGTATACCATTATTTAGTGCCAAATGTTATACATCTGTATGACTCGTATATCAACTGTTACTGTTGCTATATAGACGCTTATATTGTAGTATAGTCACATGTGTTATATATCTAGACACGTATGAGTCAATTGTCAATGCCATATGTCGCTTCACTGTGGTATTGTCATATCAGTTATACATGTATATGCCTGCACGAATGACTCAATTGTCAATGTCCCAAATCGCTAAACTGTTGTATGGTTATATGTTGTGCGTTGTATATATTACACAAAATAAGTTAAATCTGGCGGGGCCGCTGACTATTGCAACACACAACATTTCAACTGTGGGTGTTCTTTAACCTGTTTTGAGTAGTATATACCTGCACGCATGCTAAATTACCATATGTCACATATCGTTGTATGTATGTCATAGACTTGAATCACCAAAGGTAGGTAAGGAACATGTGTATATGTTCGATGTATGTTTTGTCACTTAGGCACATTAGTGAACATTTGCTATCAAATTGCTTGATTGTTTGATGTGAATACTTGGCTTACATGTTTATTGCATTGTATTGTACTGCACCGTTCATGGTCATAGATAGTTTCGTGTAATAATATATGTACACTACACAATACCCTCCCATGATGTGGATTTAACACCAAATAGAAGATGCATACGCCGTTTACCATAAGTCATTACTACTATGGGGAACATATAATTTCAGACAGGCACAGTTGGTTGAATCCCAAGACCTGATCAAATCGGTTTACAATTGAAGAGTAGATACATAGCTTGTTTTATCATCACTGCCTCATACTGATCCTGATTAACGTAACTTTGTTTTGTGAAAATATGTGATGCTATATTTGATGATTTTATGAAATGGACTTTGCCTATATCTTTCTTTCGTTTTTATTCATTTCTGGAGAGCATTGAAGATCAAGACTAATATTTAGTAGCAATGTTAAATTGGGATAATATCATGATATATATCATATAGGTATATGTTGAAATTTATTAAAACTAATGTAACGGTGCTTAAACACTCTTTTTGCATTTGATGTTCATTTTTAAAAATAAACCCGCCCATAAAACAATTCTTTCTTTACTTATAGGTAACTGGTACTACGTTCACAACCGGATCAACGCAAACTGGTTTCACTTCAAATGCTGTAACCCTAGGCTCATCCGGTCCTACCACTATACTGACAGGTTCAACTCTTCATACCAGTTCCACAGAACAGTCTACAACCGATTCAATCCAGACAGGCCCGATTGGTTCAACCACAGGCCATGCGGTTTCGACAGGCCATGCCGGTTCAACACACCAATCGGGAACCGGATCCATCCAGACAGGCCAAATTGGTTCAACGACGGGCCATGCGGTTTCGACGGATCATACCGGTTCAACACACCAATCGGGAACCGGATCAATCCAGACAGGCACACTTGGAACAACGACAAACCACGCGGTTTCGACAGGTCAAACCGGTTCAACACACCAATCGGGAACCGGATCAATCCAGACAGGCACACTTGGAACAACGTCTGACTCGAACGTTGTTTACGCAATGTCCCCCAATACAAACGCAGTGCCGGATAAGACTAGCATTGTAAAGGACGTCTCTGGTTTCAATGCTGACAATGCGATCGATGCTGGAACCATGTACAAACCTGGAAACACGAAGACAGGTGTAGAATCTGTTGTGACTGATCTATCCGGCCAGAACCATGTTGTCTGGAGTCCAAATGACTGGCACGCATCCACCACCGGTGCCATTAGAGATTCACATGTCCACACCCTCACCCACTCTCACACACAGACCAATTCTGTGGAAACGGCACACAATACTGGCAATATATTTTCAACATCTGCAAGTATCCCTGTCCAGGTAGCACAGGCCCCCTTGCCATCACATTTAACCCACAATGAAGTCTCTTCAGACAAGTATGTTGTTGGTGGACAAGCATCCGCACCAAGTTCCACAGGCGGTTCGGTCACTGTTGTCGGTTCAGGCTCAACAACTGGGTCAAAATCTGCCTCAGCATCAACCTCTATCGGTGGTTCAAGCACAACACTCGCATCAAGCCTCACCACAGGTTCCGGCATAACAGCTGCGTCAGGCTCAACCGTCGGTTCTGTTACAACTGGGTCAAGTTCAACCACTTCCAATACTTCAAGCACCAGCAGCGGTTCAGGCTCTGCCAGCGGATCAAGTTCCACAACCGGTTCAAGCACGACCATAGGAACAGGTTCCACTAGCGGAACAGACTCTGCTAGCGGAACAAGCACGACCATCGGAACAAGCGCTACGAGCGGAACAGGCTCTACCAGCGGAACAAGCGCTACGAGCGGAACAGGCTCTACCAGCGGAACAAGCGCTACCAGCGGAACAGGCTCTACCAGCGGAACAGGCTCTACCAGCAGAACAGGCTCTACCAGCGGAACAAGCACGACCAGCGGAACAAGCACGACCATCGGAACAGGCTCTACTAGCGCATCAGGCTCTGTCAGTGGATCAAGTTCCACAACTGGATCAAGCTCTACTAACGGTTCAGGCACAACAATCGCAACCGGATCTAGTTCTACCATCGGAACAAGCGCTACCAGCGGCTCAGGCTCTACGATTGCATCAGGCTCTGTCAGTGGATCAAGCAATACGAGCGGTTCAGGCACAACAATCGCAACCGGATCTCATTCTACCATCGGAACAAGTTCGGCCAGCGGTTCAGGCTCTACGATCACATCAGGCTCTGTCAGTGGACCAAGTTCCACAACCGGATCCAGCTCTACCACCGGAACAGGCTCTGCTAGCGGATCAGGCTCTGTCAGTGGCTCAAGCAATACGAGCGGTTCAAGGTCAACTAGCGTAACAAGCACTACCAGCGGTTCAGCCTCGACAACCGGAACAGGCTCCACAATCGGCTCAAGCTCTACCATCGGAACTGGCTCTACCATCGGAACAGGCTCTACCAGCGGAACAAGCGCAACCAGCGGAACAAGCTCTACTAACGCGTCAGGCTCTGTCAGTGGTTCAAGCTCTACTAGCCGAACAAGCACCACCAGCGGTTCAGCCTCGACAACCGGATCAGGCTCCACAATCGGCTCAAGCTCTACCATCGGAACTGGCTCTACCATCGGAACAGGCTCTACCAGTGGAACAAGCGCAACCAGCGGAACAAGCTCTACTAACGCGTCAGGCTCTGTCAGTGGTTCAAGCTCTACTAGCGGAACAAGCACCACCAGCGGTTCAGCCTCGACAACCGGATCAGGCTCCACAATCGGCTCAAGCTCTACCATCGGAACTGGCTCTACCATCGGAACAGGCTCTACCAGCGGAACAGGCGCTACCAGCGGAACAAGCTCTACTAACGCATCAGGCTCTGTCAGTGGATCAAGCTCTACAAGCGGTTCAAGCACTACCAGCGGTTCAGCCTCGACAACCGGATCAGGCTCCACAACCGGATCAAGCTCCACCATAGGTTCAGGCTCCATCGCAGGTTCAGGCTTTACCAGCAATTCAGGCTCTGTCAGTGGATCAAGTTCCACAACTGGATCAAGCTCTACCAGCGGATTAGGGTCTTCCAGTCTTTCAGGCTCCACTAGCGGATCAAGCTCCACAACCGGGTCAGGCTCCACCACCGGTTTAGGTTCAATAAGCAGTTCAGGCAGTACAACCGGTTCAGGTTCTTTGAGCGGGACAAGCTCTACTGGTGGTTCAGGCACCATTAGCGGTTCAGGGTCCACAACTACTGGATCCAGTGCAAGCAACGTTCCACTAAACTCACCTTGGAGTAACCAAAACTCCGTTTTCGGGTTCATGCCTATTATCGCAGGACGTCACGACAACTCTGTTGCCTTAGCCTTATCCAACGAAATAAGCAACGCCCCCGTTCCAGACACACAGAGTGCTGCCAACACAAGAGTGGCCAATACAGTATCAGAACAAGGTTTTGCCCAACTGAATAGTATGACAAACCCAACACACTTTACAGTGTCAGGATCCGGAATGCCTTATGTACCCGTTGTCCCAACAGCAGACAGGTTATCCATGATGCCAAACGTCAATAAAGACCCTGCTTATAACCAGCAATCATTGCCTCCAGCAACATCTGCATCAAATCAGCGGACATCAATCCATTCAACTGCAAGTCAGATGACTTCCTCTTTCCAAACGGCACATGTGGGTGATTCTACAAATACAAACTCTGGGTCATCAACACATCTGGCTGAATCTGTACCAGCAAGTGCATCTACATCGCAGAGCGGTTCAGCGTCATCACAGAGTGGTTCAACGTCATCACAGAGTGGTTCAACGTCATCACAGAGTGGTATGACATCATCACAGAGTGGAACAGCGTTACCACAGAGTGGTATGACATCATCACAAAGTGGAACAGCGTCATCACAGAGTGGTATGACATCATCACAAAGTGGAACAGCGTCGTCACAGAGTGGTATGACATCATCACAAAGTGATGCATCATCACAGAATGGTATGACATCATCAGAAAGTGGAACAGCGTCATCACAGAGTGGTATGACATCATCACAAAGTGGAACAATGTCATCACAGAGTGGTATGACATCATCACAAAGTGGAACAGCGTCATCACAGATTGGTATGACATCATCACAAAGTGATGCATCATCACAGAATGGTATCACATCATCAGAAAGTGGAACAGCGTCATCACAGAGTGGTATGACATCATCACAAAGTGGAACAATGTCATCACAGAGTGGTATGACATCATCACAAAGTGGAACAGCGTCATCACAGAGTGGTATGACATCATCACAAAGTGGAACAATGTCATCACAGAGTGGTATGACATCATCACAAAGTGGAACAGCGTCATCACAGAGTGGAATGACATCATCACAGAGTGGAACAGCGTCATCACAGAGTGGTATGACATCATCACAAAGTGAAACAGCGTCATCACAGAGTGGTTCAACGTCATCACAGAATGGTTTAACGTCATCACAAAGTGGAGCAGCGTCATCACAGAGTGGTTCAACACCTTCATCTTCATCCTCAGTTGGAAGTAGCTTGAAGGAAACATCACAGAAGTTATCCCTGTCCAACACTGAACAATTTGTTTACGTGCAGCCATCAAAACCAGACAAAAACACCTATCTCAAAGACGTCTCCGGCGCCAATGCCGATAATGTAATCTTCCCAGGAATCGTCTCCAAGGACGTTAAGCCAGGACTGTATGACAAAACATCAATGGGGACATCCGCAGGTGTGGATACGTCAAGTTCAAATTCCCAAACAATAGCATCGCGTACCGACTTAAGCAAGTCAGGATCCAGTAGTTTCTTCACAGCAAACCAACCATCAACAGCTGCTGCTGCTTCCGATGCATCTAAGATCACCCAGACACCCACCTTTGAATCGGGCTCAGGACCTGTAACAGTAACACATAGAGCGATGGCAGGAAGCACTGCCAATGCTCCTCTACCTTCCGGCGAAATATCAGTAACAACGCATGCCACGGAAGGGACACCTGCCTTCACTTCACAATCTCAAGGTAGTCCAGAGGTAGTTTATGCATCCCCAAGTCATATTTCGAGTTTACTTCATTCAAGTGCAGCTTCTCTGCCACTGACTGATTCAACTGTTCATCCTTCTTTATCTACCGTGGCGCCAGGGCAAACAATAAACACTGCCACACAACCGGTTGTCACTGTCAGTGACGTCGCCGGATCGGCTGTCACTAGCAGTTATGACACAACCCAGTCAGCTGCAACAACCAACTATGCTGCCACACAGCCAGCTGCCACAGGCAGTTATGACGCCACGAAACAAGCTGCAACAGCCAACTATGCTGCCACACAACCAGGTGCCACAGGCAGTTATGACGCCACACAACAAGCTGCAACAGCCAACTATGCTGCCACACAACCAGCTGCCACAGGCAGTTATGACGCCACGCAACAAGCTGCAACAACCAACTATGTTGCCACGCAACAAGCTGCCACACACCCAGGTGCCACAGGCAGTTATGACGCCACGCAACAAGCTGCAACAACCAACTATGTTGCCACGCAACAAGCTGCCACACACCCAGGTGCCACAGGCAGTTATGACGCCACGAAACAAGCTGCAACAGCCAACTATGTTGCCACGCAACAAGCTGCCACACAACCAGCTGCCACAGGCAGTTATGACGCCACGCAACAAGCTGCCACACAACCAGCTGCCACAGGCAGTTATGACGCCACGCAACAAGCTGCAACAACCAACTATGTTGCCACGCAACATGCTGCCACACACCCAGGTGCCACAGGCAGTTATGACGCCACGAAACAAGCTGCAACAGCCAACTATGTTGCCACGCAACAAGCTGCCACACAACCAGCTGCCACAGGCAGTTATGACGCCACGCAACAAGCTGCAACAACCAACTATGTTGCCACGCAACAAGCTGCCACACAACCAGCTGCCACAGGCAGTTATGACGCCACGCAACAAGCTGCAACAACCAACTATGTTGCCACGCAACAAGCTGCCACACACCCAGGTGCCACAGGCAGTTATGACGCCACGAAACAAGCTGCAACAGCCAACTATGTTGCCACGCAACAAGCTGCCACACAACCAGCTGCCACAGGCAGTTATGACGCCACGCAACAAGCTGCAACAACCAACTATGTTGCCACGCAACAAGCTGCCACACAACCAACTGCCACACAACCAGCTGCCACAGGCAGTTATGACGCCACGAAACAAGCTGCAACAGCCAACTATGTTGCCACGCAACAAGCTGCCACACACCCAGGTGCCACAGGCAGTTATGACGCCACACAACAAGCTGCAACAACCAACTATGCTACCACGCAACAAGCTGCCACAGGCAGTTATGACGCCACACAACAAGCTGCAACAACCAACTATGTTGCCCCGCAACAAGCTGCCACAGGTAGTAATGACGCCACACAACAAGTTGCAACAACGAACTATGCTGCCACACAACCAGGTGCCACAGGCAGTTATGACGCCACACAACAAGCTGCAACAACCAACTATGTTGCCACACAACCAGGTGCCACAGGCAGTTATGACGCCACACAACAAGCTGCAACAACCAACTATGTTGCCACGCAACAAGCTGCCACACAACCAGGTGCCACAGGCAGTTATGACGCCACACAACAAGCTGCAACAACCACCTATGCTGCCACACAACCAGGTGCCACAGGCAGTTATGACGCCACGAAACAATCTTCAACAACGAACTATGCTGCCACACAACGAGGTGCCACAGGCAGTTATGACGCCCCACAACAAGCTGCAACAACCAACTATGTTGCCACGCAACAAGCTGCCACACAACCAGGTGCCACAGGCAGTTATGACGCCACACAACAAGCTGCAACAACGAACTATGCTGCCACACAACCAGGTGCCACCGGCAGTTATGACGCCACACAACAAGCTGCAACAACCAACTATGCTGCCACGCAACATGCTGCCACAGGCAGTTATGACGTCACACAACAAGCTGCAACAACCAACTATGTTGCCACAAAACCAGGTGCCACAGGCAGTAATGACGCCACACAACAAGCTGCAACAACCAATTATGTTGCCACGCAACAAGCTGCCACAGGTAGTAAGGACGCCACACAACAAGCTGCAACAGCCAACTATGTTGCCACGCAACAAGCTGCCACACAACCAGCTGCCACAGGCAGTTATGACGCCACGCAACAAGCTGCAACAACCAACTATGCTGCCACGCAACAAGCTGCCACACAACCAGCTGCCACAGGCAGTTATGACGCCACGCAACAAGCTGCAACAACCAACTATGTTGCCACGCAACAAGCTGCCACACAACCAGGTGCCACAGGCAGTTATGACGCCACACAACAAGCTGCAACAACCACCTATGCTGCCACACAACCAGGTGCCACAGGCAGTTATGACGCCACGAAACAATCTTCAACAACGAACTATGCTGCCACAGAACCAGGTGCCACAGGCAGTTATGACGCCACACAACAAGCTGCAACAACCAACTATGTTGCCACGCAACAAGCTGCCACACAACCAGGTGCCACAGGCAGTTATGACGCCACACAACAAGCTGCAACAACTAACTATGCTGCCACGCAACAAGCTGCCACAGGTAGTAATGACGTCACACAACAAGCTGCAACAACCAACTATGCTGCCACGCAACCAGGTGCCAAAGGCAGTTATGACGCCACGCAACAAGCTGCAACAACCAACTATGCTGCCACACAACCAGGTGTCACAGGCAGTTATGACGCCACACAACAAGCTGCAACAACCAACTATGTTGCCACACAACCAGGTGCCACAGGCAGTTATGACGCCACACAACAAGCTGCAACAACGAACTATGCTGCCATACAACCAGGTGTCACAGGCAGTTATGACGCCGTACAAAAAGCTGCAAGAACCAACTATGTTGCCACGCAACAAGCTGCCACACAACCAGGTGCCACAGGCAGTTATGACGCCACACAACAAGTTGCAACAACCAACTATGCTGCTACGCAACAAGCTGCCACAGGTAGTAAGGACGCCACACAACAAGCTGCAACAACGAACTATGCTGCCACAGAACCAGGTGCAACAGGCAGTTATGACGCCACACAACAAGCTGCAACAACCAACTATGTTGCCACGCAACAAGCTGCCACACAACAAGCTGCCACGCAACAAGCTGCGACAACGATCAATGCTGCCACACAACCAGCAGCTACAAACAGTAATGACGCCACAGGCCCCACCAGTTCTGTCTTGTCCGGGAATACCATTACGGGTGCAGCATCTCCAACTGGCTCCACCGCTTACTCTCTCTACATTCAGTCAACACGAGAGGGGACAGCCCACAGTGGGTCAAACACGCCAACAACTTTCGATGGAGTAAATAATGTTAATGCTGACACCATTAATATTGCTGCAATTAGTGGAGGCACGGTCTCAAACACACAAACAGCAAACGATTTTACTACAACAAATGGGGCCAGCTCAACTTCCACAGGCACTAACACACAGTCTGGTAATATAGAGTCCGCTTCGAAAGTTTCTGGAAAAGTCCCTATTGCTAGTTCGGCAGCTGTTCCCAACAACGTTGAATCTGTAAACTACCCAGGGGCTCCTGGTTCTAACGTGGAGTTTCCAGTTTCGAACACAATGAAGATTGTTCTTGATGCTAATGCTATTCCCTTCACTGGCCAGCAAGCAACACCAGGTTCAAACTCAGTCTTTAATATTGGCGTGACGGCTACCAGGGACACTACCTCTCCACCCGAAGCAGGTGCTTCAGCTAATAGTATGGATAATTCAGTCTCAGGAGTCAATTCTAACACACTGATAGGCTATGCTGGGCATGAGGGTTCTCTAACAAATACTATTGGAACATCATCTTCGGGAACCGCAAATAACAATTCTAGTTACACTGCGTCTGATGCTGTAGTCCTCGCAACCAATGTTGGTGCCACTGGAAGCTTAGCTCCAACGTCCGCACCTGGAACAGCTTCTACATCTGCATTGGCGGGTACTGCAGCTGCCGAACCTGAAACCACCCCTACTGCTGAGACTACACCTACTGTAGTAGTTACGGCAACCAATGTTGGCGGATCTGGAAGTGCAGGGCCAACTGCCGAACCTGAAACTGTTTCTACTGCAAGTGCCAAGACTACAGCTTCTGTGGCTGGTACGGCAACCCATGTTGGCGGATCTGGAAGTACAGGAACTGCCGAACCTGAAACCATTCCTACTGCTGAGTCTACACCTTCTGTAACAGTTACGGCAACCAATGTTGGCGGATCTGGAAGTGCAGGGCCAACTGCCGAACCTGAAACTGCTTCTACTGCTGAGACTACACCTTCTCTAGCAGCTACGGCAACCAATGTTGGCGGATCTGGAAGTACAGGACCAACTGCCGAACCTGAAACCACTCCTACTGCTGAGATAACACCTGCTGTAGCAGCTACGGCAACCAATGTTGGCGGATCTGGAAGTACAGGACCAACTGCCGAACCTGAAATTGCTTCTACTGCAAGTGTAAATATTACACCTTCTGTGGCAGCCACTGTAACTGCTCCTGGAAATACTGGTCCAACCTCCGCACCTGAAACTGCTGCATCCAACACGGGTAGCTACACCAACATTGTCCAGCGGACAGGAGCAACTGCGTCTATCCCGTCCAACACGGGAAGCTACATCAACACTGCCCAACAGACTGGAGCAACTGCGTCTATCCCGTCCAACACGGGAAGCTACATCAACACTGCCCAACAGACTGGAGCAACTGCGTCTATCCCGTCCAACACGGGAAGCTACGCCAACACTGCCCAACAGACCGGAGCAACTGCGTCTGTGCCGTCCAACACGGGAAGCTACGCCAACACTGCCCAACAGACTGGAGCAACTGCGTCTGTCCCGTCAAACACGGGAAGCTACACCAACACTGTCCAACAGACCGGGGCAACTGCGTCTGTGCCGTCAAACACGGGAAGCTACATCAACACTGCCAAACAAACTGGAGCAACTGTGTCTGTGCCGTCCAATACGGGAAGCTACGCCAACACTGCCCAACAGACTGGAGCAACTGCGTCCGTCCCGTCTAACACGGGAAGCTACATCAACACTGCCCAACAGACCGGGGCAACTGCGTCTATGCCGTCAAACACGGGAAGCTACATCAATACTGCCCAACAGACTGGAGCAACTGTGTCTGTCCCGTCCAACACGGGAAGCTACGCCAACACTGCCCAACAGACCAGGGCAACTGCGTCTGTCCCGTCCAACACGGGAAGCTACATCAACACTGCCCAACAGACCGGGGCAACTGCGTCTATGCCGTCAAACACGGGAAGGTACATCAATACTGCCCAACAGACTGGAGCAACTGTGTCTGTCCCGTCCAACACGGGAAGCTACGCCAACACTGCCCAACAGACCGGGGCAACTGCGTCTGTCCCGTCCAACACGGGAAGCTACATCAACACTGCCCAACAGACCAGGGCAACTGCGTCTATGCCGTCAAACACGGGAAGCTACACCAAAACTGTCCAACAGACCGGGGCAACTGCGTCTGTCCCGTCCAACTCGGGAAGCTACATCAACACTGCCCAACAGACCGGGGCAACTGCGTCTATGCCGTCAAACACGGGAAGCTACACCAACACTGTCAAACAGACCGGGGCAACTGCGTCTGTGCCGTCAAACACGGGAAGCTACATAAACACTGCCAAACAAACTGGAGCAACTGTGCCTTTGCCGTTCAACACGGGAAGCTACGCCAACATTGTCCAACAAACTGGAGCAACTGCGTCTGTGCCGTCCAACACGGGAAGCTACGCCAACACTGCCCAACAGAATGGAGCAACTGCGTCTGTCCCGTCAAACACGGGAAGCTACATCAACACTGTCCAACAAACTGGAGCAACTGTGTCTGTGCCGTCAAACACGGGAAGCTACTTCAACACTGCCCAACAGACCGGGGCAACTGCGTCTGTGCCGTCAAACACGGGAAGCTACATAAACACTGCCAAACAAACTGGAGCAACTGTGCCTTTGCCGTTCAACACGGGAAGCTACGCCAACATTGTCCAACAAACTGGAGCAACTGCGTCTGTGCCGTCCAACACGGGAAGCTACATCAACACTGCCCAACAGACTGGAGCATCTACCCAACAGTTTACAGCAAGCTATCCTAATCCTACCCAACGTGTCTCTCAGTCTGGAGTGACCGGTACACGTTATACCCAGTTCAACCACCAGTATGCAGGAAGTCAGTACCCATCCAGTCTTTCTCCAAGTGTCGGCCAGTACATGGCCCCCATTCGGCAGGACAGCCCTTCAGTGAGCCAACAGGGTGGTAAGTACTAAATGCGAGTGTCTCTGTTCGACAGTGGAATGCTACTTCATTCTTATTAATTGCGTAGTCATTGTAACAAAATGTACAACCGTAAAGCCAAACACAGCTTCAACAATTAGTATGGGACTACATATTCTGGGGGAGTCAGAAAATGATTTTCGTTTCTGCTTCAATTCTATTTAAAAAGACTTAACAGCGTATTTTTTTCAGATCATCCAACATTTCCAGCGAATAATTTTTCTTTTGAGTAAAACCTGAGGCAAATTTGTTTCTCGTATCTTTTTGGTACAAATAATTATTTTTAACAATCTTGGGCACAGTCTCTTACCTAACCAATTCTTTCTTTGTTTGTTGGTGGTTTAACGACGCACTCGGCAATATTCCAGCTTTATGACGGCGGTCTGTAAATAATCGAGTCTTGACCAGACAATCTAGTGAATTAAATCATCAGCATCTATCCACGCAATTGGAATCGATGACATTCATCGACAAGTCAGCGAGGCTGACCACCGATCCCGTTAGTCGCCTTTTACGACAAGCATAGTCGCCTTTTACGACAAGCATAGTCGCCTTTTACGACAAGCATAGTCGCCTTTTACGACAAGCATAGTCGCCTTTTACGGGAAGCATGGGTTGCTGAAGACCTATTTTACCCCGGATCTCCACAGGTCCATAAAGTTCTTTACAACAGAAGCTGAAATAATATTTACAGGATCAACACAATGAGAACCTAGACATTACTACCTCATCTTAATCTGACATTTAAACTTGAAAAAATTAAAACAACATACATTTCATATGAATTTGAGCAGTTTCTAGACAATTTCGCCATGAAATAATAAAAATAGAAATTTCGTCCAATCAGCAGCCAAATTCAAAGTGACATAATCAAATATTGATGAATACTCAATTGAAGTACAACCAAACAATGTGCAATGTGAGTTACTGTAAGACTACATGATACTGTGAATACCCACAGATAGTATCGTTAACCTACACAATACTGTGAATACTTTGTAGAATGTTACAGTTGATCATTGCCATACCGTAATACTCCACAAAATGTAACAGATAACCTACTGTATGACGTGAATACTCTGTAGAATGTTTCAATTAACTTACAAAAAAGTGAATATTCTGTAGAAGGGTAGTTAACCTTCACAATACGGTGAAAACCTTGTAGAATGTTACAGTTTACCATTGCCATACCGTATATACTCTACCAAATGTTACAGATAACCTACTCTATGACGTGAATACTCTTTAGAATGTTTCTATTAACTTACACAAAAAGTGAATATTCTATAGAAGGGTAGTTAACCTACACAAAACTGTGAATACCTTGTAGAATGTTACAGTTTACCATTGCAATACCGCAAAACTCCACAAAATGTTACAGAGAACCTACTGTATGACGTGAATACTCTGTAGAATGTTTCAATTAACTTACACAAAAAGTGAATATTCTAAAGAAGGATACATTTAACCTTCACAATACGGTGAATACCTTCAGCACAACGGTGATGCCATTCTGTCCCCACAGGTTCAGCGCCGTATCCAGCAGTCCAGCCGCTTCCTGTGTACAACGTCCATGCCCACCAGCCACAGCAGCTTCACCAGACCCATGACAGCCTTCTGGCGGCCACCATCAACAAGCTGATCAGTCTGTATCATCAGGTGATCTCCCTTGGGGGGTCGCGGGCTCAGCAGCTGCTCCAGTCACCTCTGGCTGACGTCATCAGCAGGAACATTCCGGTGCCTTTCACGACTACCCAAGCACCGACCACGACTACAGTCGTAAGTGTCCCTTCTTTTGTAAGCTTTATGGATGGGAGTTTCAGTTGTTGAGGGCGGTTGGGTAGCAAAGTGGTAAAAGCGTTCTCGGGTCATGCCGAAGTCCGGGGTACCGTTCTCCACATTCCCCATTGTTCATGACCAGTCCATTGGCCCAGTAGTGTAAATTTTAATATTTTACATTTTCATTGTTTTTCATTTTATTTACATCACTGGATTATCATGACATCATATAATAATAACTAAAAATAAAAACCAAATAATAAACCTAGCTCGACTTTCAGGGTAAGTTTTAAGTTATTTAAACTCTTGGAACAATGAACAACCGAAAATTCGACACATCCAGTTTGACATATCTGATTTGAAATAGCTAAAATTATTGTAAGAGTTTGATGCAACCGGACTAATCGACAAATCGGAGTTTGAATCTCTGGTCCAGAATCTATTCATTGTTCGATGTCAGCACCACATACTGCAATAGCGCTGATTGTGACACAAAACAACTCCAATGACCGATTTTGACAGAGTGAATTATGGTTTACGAGGGTGTTTTAAGAAGTTCTCTATCACACCCATGCGGGATGAACGTGTCTACGGTGCGACAGTGGAACCCACTGGATTGATCCAAAGTGTCCCGAGGCTACCGTCAACTTGATAAATTGGTATATCATACTTGATATATCAAAATTAATGTAACAATGTAGGTGCCACAGTTGTTTGTTGTGTCTTTATGACGTACGATAATGCCAACAGAAATTAAATATCTTCCCGATTGTGCTCTCAAAATAATGTGTTTTCGTCTTTCAGAATCCTTTAATCCCCAACTGTCCTCCCACAAGGAGGAACACATGGTGCCAGTCATCTTCTGGAGACCCTAGCCCGCCGGCAATTTACCCAGGGGAGAAATGGGAATTCCAAAATGCCACGGAGCTAAAGCAATACTGCGGTCATTCCTGTACAGGCAACAGGTGCGAGTTCACTATGTGCACTTGCTACTGTATAGATGACGCTACAAAGAATGTGCTGGAACCTGGAGAGATTTTGGACACGACTGAGATCCTTGAACATATCAACGCTGCCCAGCCCACCACAAAAGCTGCAACTGCAGCAGCTTGAGGGCATCGAGGGTAACCATTTCACTCAGACACGAATCACCATATGATTCAGACATGAATCATATACACAACATGAACATTAGTGTGCGGTTAATGCGCTAGCCTGGAGGATATTACATTGGCGTAAATTGTGTCTGGTAGATCGTTACACTGTAGGCGTTTGTTCGTAATGACACGAATGTCATACGCTTATGAACTTTGGAACACCTGTCATTAATGACATCAACGATGGAACTGATTGAATATGTGCTCTGTTGAATCAAAGTAGATATGAATCGTAGTGCCCATGAATCGATTATGTGTAGACAGTACTAATGTATGCAAAACCACTTATGTATGCAAAACAAAGCTACGGTACCTCCCTGCAAAATACATACAAATGCTATGTCCAATATTTTGGGGCTGAAATATGTGATGTTAAGAGTCCAAATATATACGATAGGAACAGGATTCAACAGAAGCATAGTCATCTCTATGACATAAAACATGTAAGGTGTGCCATAACAAATCATCGATATTTATGAATTGCAAAGGGAATATTTTACAATATACGTTGAGACTATGTACATTGTGTATTGTATACTTTAAAATCAACCTTACTTTGAAATATGTACAATAAATATACATAACAACGTGTGTGTAAAACTTATTTCTTTATGACAAAGATATTTGGAGGTAGTGGACATGTTATCAATTCGATTTTACTTTAATGTAATTTATTGCCATAATTAGATCGACGCGAGCAATAAAATTCTTTTTCTTAAAGTCAACTGCAGCGCCAACCCTACATTATAAAGTACGCATGGGTCTTCTTCACACGAGGCCAAGATTAACACATGTGGGCATCATCCATTTTAAACTACAACCTCTCACTACGTTTCCAATTCTGTTTCGATAATGGCAAACATACCTTTTCGTTCAGTGTATATACCAGCAAGGTAGTGTGTAAGTGAGAGTACAAAAGTTGGATACGAAACCAGAAGAGTGCTGTGGCATTCTGAACCATGTTGAGTAACATTGTCTTGCCAATCTCAATCTTACAACAAATAATAAATTTAAATATAATAATGATATTATTTTTAATAATGAGGAGTCTCAAAAAGCCCTTTACACCATTCCCGTGTTTCCTCTAAGCGTGCACTATTATTACCCCGGTTAATGGCTCAGTGTGCGCTCAATTTTCAATCTCAGCTCCCTTGGGAGTATACAACTGTCAACAAGGTCTCTGTGATTCATATATTCTCCTTAATAACTCACAGAACATAACGGTTCTAACATTGTTTGGATGCCGAAGCAAGGTTATAATTGTATATTTATGGCATAAGAGTGCTCAGGGCGCTAATAAGTAACTTAACACTAAATTGTTACAAGATTATTAGGAGGTGGCTGTCCTCCCTTGTGTATCGCATACATACATAAATGCCTTCTGATAGTTACGTCAGTCTTGTTTGTTTGTGGTTAAAGGTTGAAAGGGAATGAACTATGTGGCATGCGGACAGAATCCGGAGGCTAGTTTGAATTGGGGACTAAATTAAAAGAAGTGAGTAAGTTTTATTAATGCCTCTTTGAACAGAATTCCAGTTGAAGCACAGCTCAATGTGGGAGGAAAACCCTAGAAACCTAGAAACATAATCGGAGCAAACAGGGATTCGAACCCATGATCTTAAGTTTCTGGCGTGCCCAAGTGACACAACTCTACACAGCGACTGTGCCTATCTCTGAGAAAGAGTGAGTGAGTTAAAATTTAAGGTCGCATTGGCATTATTTCAGCCATATAGCGACCCCTGAGAAAAAAGATAAAGCGGATCTGAAGTGTCAAAAGTGTTTTGTTTGTTTGTGGTTAAACGCCCAACTCAACAATAGTCCAGCCATACGACAGCGGCCTGTTAATAATCGAATCTGGACCAGACAAATCAGGGGTTGATATAATGAGCAACGTTCCAAACTACCAAACCTGACACCGAACCACTACGTCTCCTCTACGACAAACATTGGTTACAATTCTATCTTGGAATAGAGCACCATAAGGGATCATGATTACCAATTATATATTAGAACAATTAGGGATTGACTCTCGCAAAAATATTTTGTATCTATGGATTACCTGCTCACAATGGGATTGTAAAGATGGGGACTTCACTTCTAGAACTCATCATTGTGTCAGCGTGTCGGACTAGTTTTCGCAAGCACTGGTATATTCCCACACTTCAGTGCTTTTGGTGTTTATGAGATAGACGTTTCAAACCATTTCCCCCTCTACTGTACTATTGAGTTTAAGAAAGATATTTCTGAGGAATCTGACCCTCCTGTATGCATGAATAACCAATGTTACTGTGTCAAACGGTAAAAAAATCATAGATTCAATACTACTGGTCTCTGAACTTAATAAATATATTTATGGTTATATTTCAAGAAAGGTTTGTATCTTGTTCTGATCCTTCTAACAGTCAGATTGAGGCAGATATGGAACAAAGCTTAAATAATATTATCAAATGCAGCTGATCAGTTTAAGAGAGTACATGAAAATCAACAGTTATCTTTAACCTCAACACGACCACCTTGGTAGGACCATGACTTAGAAGAAGATCAAGAAAATATGCATCTCTCAGAGCTCACAGCACTTTGGGGAACACTATTAGCACATACCTATGATATAAAAAGAACTTTGAAAAAAACTATCTCGCTTGACGTCATTCGCTTTCTCAACTGCAAGTCAGAACTAAAGGAATCTCTCGAAAGCGAGAGACATTCACATACACACTTTATTAAACCGAACAAAATCGTCACACGCATTAACTACGCTTTGCATTCTTTATTAGTTATGCATGGATCTCGAGCTACTGCAGACATTATATAATCGAGCCATATCCATATGCAATATCTACCGATGGATCGAGGGTCCCAATGAGCGTGGCGCACCCGACCACTTTTGCGACTTTCAATTTGAAAATGTTAAGCATGGTGAAATGAAATCAGTATAAACTATCTGGACAGATATCTAGACTTACGTTCGATGCTCCGGTTGTGCCATCAGTGTCGCAATTCGAAGCGTGACATTGCTTCCGAAGATGTTTGTTCATGAATGCGCATTCACGACTGCACGACCAGATCACTTAAATTGATCATTTCCGATACAAATCATTCGAAAACTCCGTAGAAGTGTGCCTGCTAGTTATGTGGCCCCAAATATCCCAAATTTGAACAATAACATTCCCTATCTCTAGCGTAAAACGCTGTGAGAAGATCACGGCTATCCTTTTCTTATTCCCGTGGTGACCTTGCCCTTCGTTCGAAGCTGTCACTGTAATGCAAGCAGACTTGAGTTTGTTGATTTTCACGTCTTCAGTGTAGGTTGGTACAGTCAATATGAATGTCTTTGGCGAACACTCTGATTCCCTCTTCCAAAATGCTACGGACAAGATATAAATTCAGCTGATAAATCAAGGAAACCGAACCATTTTGAATGCACACCCGGGACACCGGCAGTGCGAGTGACCGACTGTTGGTCCGATATTCAAAGCGCGGCGCTAATGAGTCTTTTCAAATTTTCTTATAGGTGTCCTGCGTACTAACAACATGGCGCTTGAATTACCATAAGGTGAAGACATTCTTCCAAAAGGATCTTGAGCGTCGGTACTGTTGTGTTTGCAAACACAACTGCAGGCGCATGTTGTTAATGCGTATGCAAAGTAATGTCAACAATGCCCATATTTGGGCATATATCAATATTCATGCACAACCAGATTTTGCAACCGGTTTCAGTTTGGTCTGTCAAGGAACGAAAGTTGTTATGTATTTACACTTAAATTTATATTTAACGGGGGTAATAAATAAAATACCACACTCATTCTCGTTAGATACATTTTTCGCTCGGTCAGATACCATAGAGAGTCCACTAGTTTCGTAAAAATGGTATCTAACGAGAATGAGAATAGTTTTCTCTATTTCCGCAAAGGGGGCGGTCGGGTAGCCTAGTGGTTAAAGCGTTCGCTCGTCATGCTGAAGATCCGGGTTCGATTCCCGACATGGGTACAAAGTGTGAAGTCCATTTCTGGTGTCCCCCGCCGTGATATTGTTGGAATATTGCTAAAAGCGGCGTAAAACCATACTCACTCACTCACTATTTCCGCAAATCGTTCTGAGAGGTCCTGGGAGCGTGTGACAGTCTTCTTGCAGCATCATACATCCAGAGTTGTGAAGTGATGGTGCAGACCTAATCAGCTACCACAGCATAGACTTCCCTACCAAGTATATAAACTGATTACAACTCTTGATGATAATAGTCACTACATGGACATCTCATACAAGACATATTGTTTTTTTCATTTATATGTCTTTTTCTTAAGAAGGTTACATCTCACCATTGAAAGTGATCTTCAAAGGGAGATTTTATGATTGCTTCTCTCACTGTTGGCATCACTCCCTCGACGCTTCATCCAGTTTAAATCTTCACCAAATGTGTACCTATTTCACCCGCGGTTGTCTCCCTTATCAACGGTCACTAATGGCCATGTTTCGGTGTAAATACTTCAGACTTGCTTTGAATCATTAATACTTTTGGCCAGTCATAAATTGTTTGAGGAATGTACGTTATTTCGCTGGGAAAGAGCTCATCTACCTGTGCAGTCGTGTGTGATGTGATCACATCAGCTATATAAGTAACTGAGTTCAGGTGGTTTGATGCATGATGATGTCACAATAGTGGTAGTCGTCTATGTGATTTGACGCGGTGGTAAGGTCATAGCTATATAAATGAGGCAGAGGCAGGCTGTGCTAATGTATTGAGACAAGACGGCGATTCGAGGCCTTTTTTTGAACTGAGTGCACATACATTAATTCTAGGATATTTGACCGACCATATTGTCTTGTTCGATTGTAAACCTACAACTGTGAGTTTCAATATAATTGATGGGAAAATCATTGATCTTTTGCATTCATTTACTGATTTCACAATTTAGTTCTGAGGGAACCGATTTCTGGATGAACCACTGCAGATCCTTCATTATGGAGATTGTGCGGAATAAACATGATTTACATTGTCAGGGGTCATACCTCTCAACCGTGTGTGGATACGTTTGTAAATACTTGTAATGCAATATGAACTGATATCATTACGTAACTACCATTTGCAGACTATATTTGACAAATTGTATTCAATTTGGAGCTGCTTTATAAAGGAAAATGATAATATAGGTGTATACGTTGATTCCTAACGTTTGCAGGCAGTTTTTAATTTTAAAACAACCCAAAAAACAGAAGATGACTCATCCCTCGGGCCCCAACAATATAGAGAATCCCACCCGAGTGTCTTTTGATATCAAACATATCAACACGAGTGGATTAAAATTGAAAAACTCAGAGGCTTGCCGAGGAGTTTTTCCACTTTTATCTACGAGTGTCATATCAAAAGACACGAGGGTGAGATTTTATTTATCATCCAACATCATTAAATTCTTACAACTTATCAGTTTGTAGACAGTAATAAGCAGTGTCTTAACTGTAAAATGTACTGCTAACAGCTTCAGTAGCAGAAGCATTAGTGATGCAATTTCATTGTAGCAATGTCTTCAATGTTAATATCGCTTGATCTTACCAAAGCGATATCTCCTGTGGGAGCCAATTTTGAATGATAAAGCAAAATGCACTACTTCAGCCCTTGGTTAATACATGTACGAAGTTTGGATGAACGGGTGAGTGTGTAAGTGAAAATGGTTCTACGTCGCTTTTAGCAATATGCCAACAATATCACGGCGGAAATGGGCTTCATGCATTGTATCCATGTAAGGAATCGAAACCCAATCTTCGGCGTGTGGAGCGAACGCTTTAACCACCAGGTGACTGTTTGGAATTATATGTGATGTTAACTAAGAGCTAGGCTGCACCTGATTTATTATCTGCTATATGATCGGGCTAATAGATCCATCTATAGAGAGAGCTGTATTTCATTTATCGTGCTGCATAATGTTATGATACCAGACTGCAATGTGATTACTCCTTGTATAGTTGTAATGTAATCATAATATTTGCAAAATGGTTTTTCATCTAAAATACGTACAGAGGCATTTTGCACCATATGTACTAATTGTCTGGAATATTATTTGACTTTAACTTGTTTAATTTCTGTGACTGTAGGTGCATAGCCATAGAGGCTTTACACTGACTGTTTTGCACCATTCTGATACAATAGATGCTCCCTTGAGTATTTGTTTTTACTGAGAGCGAGTGACCCGCGATGGTCAGAGAGTTTGAGGAGTGCGGAAATTCAACTTTTGAGATGTGTTACATGGCCGAGATCCACTCTTCAGGTATAGAAAACATGAATATAAGATAATATTAAGATTTATTGGCATTTCATAAGCTGTTGTCAGTCAATTTTTTTTACATTTATTGGAAAGTTGAATTATTTAGCCACGTGCGATAGTGTATCCTGTTTTCGTTGTAGAGGTGCGCGCTATCGCAGGAAAATCTTCATATATAGTAAGATTTATGTCATAAAACCAGTGTTATTGAGATTATTAATTGTTTGAGAAACAACGTACTGCCCGCATGGTCAGTGTTAATGCATTATTTTCACATTTTTGTGTAAGCATGACATTTTCTAAGTTGTACGTAGCAAGGGAGCAGTCATTGTATTACAATGTAAGGTATCATGCTATTGCAGTGTTGCAATTATATTATAAAAGAGTGCTTCAGCATGTTTAATTACATGTATTGTCATGACAGTGAATGATGGATACATTCAAATGTGTTAAACATTGTACGAGCAATCGGCGGGATGAAATATGCATCAGATCCACCAGCTGTTCACCTGTACCATTAAGTGTCAGTGGAATAACGTTGACTGTGTGGAGTTCAACTCTTCTCTTAGTTTATGTTACGTCATTTAACATATCTTTTATGAATACGCTATATTATGGGTTTAAATAATGAAATGTGAATATAAACACTATATAATATCAGAGCTCCAGATAAACTTTTGGTGTTGTGGGTATTTTACCCATGCATTTTAAAATCATTGGGTATCAGTAATTCTATCTGCGTATTCAAATTTCTGTTACCCACTAGTTTTTACCCATGTTCGTTGCGTATTTGATACGCTTGGATTATATTTTACTGCGTATTTCTGCATTTCTGATGCGTATTTCACGCAGATACGCAGCTTATCTGGAGCTCTGAATGTTATTGACTGTTGTCTTTGAATTATAACACTAAATTTGAATCCCAATTGCGTGGATCGATGCTTATGATATCCATCACTGGATAATCTGGTTCAGACTGTTATTATACCCCCGACCTAAAGGCACTGGTGTTTGTTGTTGTACGAAGGAATTCTGTCCTTCTTTTTTTTGTGCGACCTTGTGTCTGAAAACTACTGCATGAATTCTTTAGGGAACATTTTCTATACCAATAGAAGAGATGGGGTGAGAGAGAGATTTATTTCAGTAAAGGGGCCACCGGCCCATTATACAATACATGATATCAGAGTTAGACAATTTCAGCGCCAATGAGAAAGTTATTACGCATTTTAAAAGCAAGAAATATAAATTTAGCTAAAGCATTAATTATGCATGGGGTTTTTGCTGTACAGAGTGTTACAAATTTATCAAAAGTAACATTGTGTAAAAATAATCAGGTAGAATCTTACGTCTCAAACTGTCATAGTGTGGACATTGTAAACAAAAATGATATATTCAGATTCCACTTCTGATGTTACGCAAAATGGACATAGTCTCTCAGCTCTAGGCATATTGTACTTCCGTCCATTTTCATTTAGCAAAGTATGACCAGAATATCTAAATTTACTCAAAGCAATACGATAGGCACTTACTGGAATGCAATCTAAATCATTTTCAAATACATTATATTGCTTAATACAAGAATAAAAAGAAAATTTTGAGTAAGTTCTTAAATTGCTAGACCATTGTTGGTTATCTATATTAATACATCTTGTTTTAAAGTTATCAATAAAACCAATATGATTTACTTCTTGACTTTTCTAAACATGGCCAAAACCATATGAATAAAGAAGTTGTTTTACCTTTAGTGCCCACCAATTTATTCCTTTTTCTACCAGGTTGTATTGATATGAATAAGCATGGCTAAGGATTATATTAGTTTTTTGAGAAACAAGTCGATGCCAATATTTGACAATACGAACATGTTGATTGACTTTAAGTGAATAACGTCCAAGCTCACCACGAGCAACTATATTGGGGACAAATCTCACATATTGTAAAATATTCTTACAGAATCTATCATGTACATTGATGACATCCTGAGCCAGATGAAAGCCCCGTATCTCTGAGCAGTAGAGAAGAACAGGTAGTATTTTGACATCAAATATCTGTAAAAGTACGTTATGAGGAAGTTTCATAAAATCCCTTGAGCCTGATTTTAAAGCGAGAAGATATTTTGTCACTTGTAGAGCTAGTGTCTTCTGTGTAAAGTACCAACTACCAGATGATGAAAGATGAACACCTACATATTTATAAGTAGGAACACTTCTATAATGTGAGTGCCAAACCAAAACTTTTCATATCTTCTAAGACGACCACTACATCTAAATACAATAATTTTACTTTTGCTTATATTAATAGACAATTTCCATTTATGACAATAAATCTTCATTTTGTCGAGGCGTCTTTGCCACCCCACTACTATCGAATAAGACCATATCATCTGCAAACATTAGAATAAAAAGTTCAATCATTTCAAATTGAATATTACGTTGCCCGTCTGAATTAAGAAAATCAACAATATCATTTCCAAAAAATGAAACCAGAAAAGGAGATAACTCACATCCCTGTCGTACACCTGACTGGCAATGGAAAAAGTCTGTGTAGCCACCATTAACAAATATACAAGATTTAACGTTTTCATACATATGTTTAAGTATTCTAAATATTTTACCATTAACATTACCTTTCCAGAGTTTGTAAAATAAACTTGTCCTACACACTGAATCGAACGCTGACTTAAAATCTATGAACGCACAATAGAATCTACTTTTATGTATCAATGGATATTTTTCAATCAAAGCATTGATAACATACACATTATCAGATGTTCTAAATCCTTTTCTAAACCCAGCCTGCTCAGGTACTAATAAACAATCTTGATCTGCCTAATCATTTAAAGGTTTACACAAAATATTTTCCCTGAACACTCCAGTAAAGAGATGGGTCTATAATCAGAAGGGTTGTTTCTACTGCCTTTTTGAATAGAGGCATAATTACACCTAGTGACCAGGCTTTAGAATAAACACCAGTATTTAAAATGAGATTAAAAAGTGAAAGTAACATTTCAATACATATGGAAGGGGCATTTTAGAATAATTCTGTCGGTATTCCACTATAACCAGGGGATTTACCATTTTCATATAATTTATAGCATCAACATTACATATTTACATAAGGAATAAACAGCAGTAAATCTGCCTTTATCATGTTTATAGTAAAAATGGACATGTCATAGCTGCATACATGTTGGTAGGTCTAAACCTGTCATGACATAATGTCACAAATCTATTAGATTTAACAAGTAAAACGAGAGGCCAAACCATTTGGACAAGAGAAAGTTTACCGCAATGGTTATACATTCTTGACGACCACTTTCTCTCTGTGCATGAACTTTGTATCAGAACAAATATTACATTGTTACAGAACAACCTGCGAGCTATGACAAATTACGGTTCATCTGCCCGAGTGAATTAAATTTGGATGTTCTGTGCATTGGCGAGGCACTTTTAACATTAATTCACATGAATAATATGCGAGAATGCTTTTACATGACGTCCGGTTGATATGGTTCGGTTCGCAAACAAAGCAAGCAATGGAACAATTTGACAAACGCGCTAATCAGCATGCTGCAATGTGAAATATCATTTACCCATTCTCTCACTGTTAAAATGACAAATCCCTTTTGTACGAAAGCCTTTTTGGGCCAAAACCATTATTAAACGTTTTTTTGATTGCGTACTTTTGGTCTCATTGCCCTCATCTGTTCAGCAACTTGTCAAGAGGGTTTCTTGTCAATCTTAATGCTGTAATGTTAAGGTCAGTGAGGACAGGCGGAAGTAGATCCATCTTTTTCGTTACGCCAGTAGCGGCAGCACAGAACCCGTCCGATTTCCCATCAAGACTAGTCTTCTATGTACATGAGGAATATGAGGCGTTGATCGTTCTTACTGCTTCCTGCTCAACTTTCTGTTTCTTACCGTTGAGAACTGTATCTTTTTCTGTATCTTTTCACACTTAAATCGCTAAGTTTACTGACAACTCCACCAACAACACCAACCTTACTGTCAATTAGAGACGCTCCTTCAGTAACTGCAGCCTGCGGCCAATATTAGCCGCCCATCAAATTGCATGTCACCTCTTCTTGCAGGCTGTCCGTTTCTGCAAACAATTAACCCACTTTATTGCATGTGAGCAAACACACTTGAACTGCATGTTGAAAGAGTACATAGACATGTTGCTATTGTACAAAACACTTATTGAGTGTGATGAAGAATGGTATTTGATATGAGGTTAACCATAGGTTCATTAGAATATGTTTTTCAAGTTAAGTAATTTAGTTAACTGGTTCAATTCTGTTTATTTAATTTAACTTTCACTATACGCACCCATGTGGAGAGCACTTTATGCACGCCACCCACGGGGCATGCTGGAGATTAAACGTTGATTTATCTCCCTTCTTTTAAAGCATAACGTTGCTCCAAATATGTTCGCAATTCCTGGGTAGTGTTGTCATTGTAGGTATCACTACGACTATGCGAAACACATTACCTGCTATACATGAATAGCAAGCAGAATCTCAATAACTAGGAAACAATGTATTGCGCCAATATCGCCTGTAATAACATCAGGGTTTTTGACAGACGATTAAAGTCTTATTTTGACATCACTCTTCAGTTCTGCAGCTGAAAACGATGTGTGAGTGCTAAGTTCTCGAAGTGTCGGGGGTCTAAAGGGCGTCATCAGTTTAATAGTAACGACCCCCTTGTCGCGAAATTACACTTTTCGATTTACCAGATTTGTTTTGTGCTATTTTGTCATATTAACGTAATGTCATGCCGAGTTATTGTGTGTTTCACCGCTTACATGATGGCGCTACAGAGACAGTTATATCAGTAAGGTTTCATTTGGATTATTGGTCGTATCAACGTCGACCTGCAAATGGTAGGTCTTCCCTTGAATAGTGTTACCATTACAGCATAAATGTAGGGTATACTCAAGTAGAGCTCTTACATTATAAATAATAGGCGCGATGGCATACAATCACCCAGATCACCTAGCCTGATCCATTTAGTCGCACGCTCAGATTACTCGTACCTTTTATAACATCAAAACCTCTAGACGTATCGGAATAATAGATGAAGTATTCTTTTCATACAAGGTGTCAAAAATGTCAGGAGAAAAATAAGAAAAGAAGAAAAATAAGAAAGTTATAGTTATTCCCGATACGTAATATGAATATTTAAGAAGTTTGTTCAAACAGACAATGTTCAATGCATACTGGTTCAATACTATGCAACATATTAGTATGTAGACTAATATATTAATTGTTCACCTTCATCCTCAAAATACCATATATTTGGATTATGTGTCATCAGCGGCGCAATGTCCCTTTGTGTGCAATCCGTCACGATGTTGTCCACATTCAGAAGAACATGAATTTGTTTGTTGCGATCTTGTTGGAATTCATCAAGGTCACACATGTAAGAGCAAACGGACATTCGTCTAGAAAAACAACAACAAAATAATGAAAATATGAACTCAAATGCCATTTAGAAAGTGGTCAAATGTAACAAATGTTGAATTTGGGATAACAATCTCTCAGTAAAGTACAGATTCTCGTACTTTACTCTAACTATAACATTTGTTATATTTGACCACTTTCTAAATGACATTTGTGTGTTTATAGCTTTCGGCCATGGGAGCCGTGCCAGTTTACACATGTCAGAGGGGTACACAAACTACATGATCTAGACCACCAGTTGTCGGGCTTTCATTTTTTGTTGAAGTCTCGGTGGCTGAGATGGTTAGATCGCTGACTTTGTGTGCTGCTGATTAGGTGCCTCACTCTGGCAGTGTGGGTTCGAATCCTGGATGGGGCTCAACCCCCCTAAATACGAGAATCTGTACTTTACTAAGAAAGGTGAGGTGAGGTGAAATGGACGTGTACATGTATGTGTGTGTGGCTGCTTGTACTAGTCCAGACTGATGCTGATTTATAGTGCTAGCACACTGAGACACCATGCCGCAGTTTACCATGAATACCCCACTCAGAGACAGTATACCGGTCTTTTTTTACCCCCTTAATGCCGAACGCCAGACAGGGTAACAACAAGTACCATCTTTTAACGTCTTTTGGTATGACGCGCCTGAGGATCGAACTCCGGACCTTCCGCTCTCCGGGCGGACGCTCTACCATTAGACCACGGAGGCGGTCTTACTAAGAAAGTGTTATCCAAAATATAACATTTGTTACATAATGCAAATAAGTAGACAAAATATAAAGAATGTCCCGAACAGATCTAATCAATGTCATCTTAGATTACCAAACTAACGCAGGTAACAAAATGATAAATACAAAGAAACCAATTTACCTCGCCAATTCAACATTCTTGTTACTCGAATGCAACAAAAGCGTTGGCGCTCCTTTTTCTAGTCGAGATGCCACTTCTCTCATCAATACATGGATACCAGAATGATACTTTGCGGGCACATGCACCTCGTTTCTGTCAATGTTTTCCGTAAGTACCAAGAACTGGTCAAAAGTTAGAAGCCACAAGGCTGTGGATATTTCACCGGTTTCATCTGTAACAAACCTTGTAACACCCATCGACATAAGAAAAGCTCGCCCAACCTTTTCATATTTCTGCATCGACATGGACAGTGAATCAGGTACACATATTCTTGATACTTCCGCCTTTATCTTCAGTAGAGCTTCATCAAAGGAACGTTGATCTGCCAGTGTTGATTCATTGATTAACCCATACATAGAACAGAATTGTTCATCAGTAAACCTTCTTATGGTATCAGTCACTGCTTTAGCAAGTGATAGGTTATATCGTCTTGATGCTGTTAAATCTGCATTAGGATCTTTCACAATACTAAGAATAACAGTTGGTTTTGTTTGAGTAATCAAACATATGTCGAATAGTACATTATCAGGTTTGGGCTTTGCAACCAGGTTGGTGGATATGGCAAGATTCTTCGCAATATATGCCAGGCCAGCAGTATGAGTGGCAGCTAGGCGAAGTTTGAGAAGACGTGTTAGGTGATGTTTCTCCGCCACTGTCGGGTAGAGAGCAAGCGTGTCTGAAACAGTTATGGCATACACATTAAGGGTCCTTTTCAAACGTAACGCATATACAGATGTTAATGAACTGGGCGGCAAAAGAAAGTATAGGTCGAGTTCCATGATCGATAAAAAAATTACAAGAAGAGGTTTTGTTGTGAATTATAATTTAATCTAGGGAGGGGTAGCAAATGATTGATCAACCACAGTTTGAATGAAATTGTGCAATCACATGTTTTGTAAGCTCAAGGTGAACAATGGTGGGGTAAGAAATTTCATTTTCAAAAGTTGTCTGAAATGTCACCAAAAAATTGTCAGACACAGGACAAGTTCATTGTCGACACAGTTGCCTTCAATAGTATGTATGACCTCTAGCTGCCTCAATGCATGCTGTGATACCCCGCCTCATCGATGCAGCAGTCTTCTGATGACGTGGACTGGAATCCGTTGTCACTCATCTCTTGGGGCCTGCTGCAATTCTTGTCTGTTGTCGGGAGGCTGATGGCGTGCTCTAATCTGTCTGTCAAGATGGTCCCACAGATGTTCAATAGGATTCATATCGGGTGAGTGGACAGGCCAGGGCAAAACGTCAACGTTCTGCTGGTTTAGAAAGTTCCGAGCCAGTCTTGCTGTATGGAGCCTGGCATTGTCGTGTTGAAACAATGTCCCCTGCTGTTGGTTTTGTAAGAACGGAAGCACAACTGGCTGCAACACTTGGTCTCTGTACTGCTCAGTGTTCAGGTTTCCCTGTATAATCACCAAATCAGTCTTCTGATCTCCACAAATACCGCCCCACACAATGACACCTCCCCCGCCGAATGGATGGACCTCTCGAATACACGCCAGAGCCAAACGTTTCCCTCTGCGTCGATAAACTCGTTCTCTGCCATCATTTCGAAACAAGACCAGCACTCGACGCCAATTTCTCACTTGCCACCGTCGAACCTGCCACGCCCATCGCAGTCTCAGGCGTCGATGATGAGCAGTCAGTACCATTCCTCGGAAAGGACGATACGCTCGGATTCCAGCAGCAGGAAGTCGTCGTAGTACTGTACGTTGGCTAATGGGATGTCCCAACGCTGTTGCTGCCATCGCCGTCGCCGTTACGAATCTGTTTCGCAGGTGAATGAGCCGTATCTGACCGTCTTCCAATGGTGTTGTCATTCGGGGTCGTCCGTTTCGAGGCCTGCCCTGTGTCCTCCCTGTCTGCCTCTACCGTTGAATCAGCCTTGCTACTGTCAATGGTGTACAACCAAACCTTCTGGCAATTTGGACCTGTGTTGCCCCATTTCGGCCATACCGAAGGCTCTCTCTGCTCCTGTGACAGTCGTGGCATTTCTTTTGTGTGCTTTTATCACGTGTGGTTATCCCCTGCAGACGAACACATTTATACAGCTAACATGCACGTGCAGTTTATGCCATAGGCAGGAAAACCTGAAACCGCACGAGCGCCGTCAAAGGTGGTGCGTTCAGGTGAGGTGTTTTGTGGTCCCTTTTCCTGGGCAGTCATATTCCCACTTTCCACTAGTTTTTAGGAAAATTACAAATTGCGCACCCTATACTTTCTTTTCCCGCTTAGTTTACTTGGTAATTATTATTCCTGTTTCTTTTCTATAACTTTTATGAATATAGAACTGTAGGATTTAAACAAACTTTCTTTGAAGACGTGACTTTGGATTCTGTCAAAACTGTCATCAACCGCTTTTACAGGAGGCAGTCGATGGTCAAAAGATTTTATATGATCCACTGAAGCTTTGTCCTTTCTCACAGTAACTGTAATACATGTACATACAATGTTATAGCCTCAATAACCATTATTGTCTTAAAAATTGTAACATAAAGATATATAATGATTACCAAACAAGGGCGAAATGTCGGTGGTTGGGATGTATATTACTTAAATAGTATGATTCATATGCCACAAACCACTGCCAATGTCAAACACACTTGCATTTACAAACGTTTTGACAACAATTCATAAATCACAAAAAAATGCATGGAACGGAACTCAGCATACATACACTACTGCCTAAAAGTTCATTCCCCTAACACGCGTTCAGAACGCGTGTAACACGCATGTGACACGGGTGCTCAACGGGTTGCACACGGGGTGCACACCCGTTGGACACGGGTGTGCAACGGGTGTGTAGCGCGTGTGCAACCCGTTGCACACGCGTGTGCCACGCGTGTAACACGGGACCGGGTTCCAGTTGAAGTTGACAAATTTATCAAATGAATAGTGAGATAAAACAAAACAGTGAGATGTGAAATTTGAGTTAATGAGCGGCCATTGAGCTGTGTTCACCAGACCGTCCAACAAGGTCGGCCCGTCTTAATTAGTGCTCGGTTGCTAGACTTTTATGGCATGAACCATTCCACTAGGGTCCAGTCTAGCCATTGTGGCTAGCCGACAGTAGAATAGTAGTGAATTTAGATGCGAGTTTATTGCTAGGGGAAACCCCGGTGTTGACACGATTGTCGCGGGTTGGTAAATGTTCGCCATTAAGGAATATGTCCCATTTCCCCACACCCCACTTTCTGTTTTGTATTTTAAAAGAATAAATAAAAGAAGGTTTTGTGTGGGACACTTTTTTACTAATTATAAGAGGATGTTGTAAATGAATATGAACAGCCATGCTGTCTGACTGTTGATAGAATTTGAGATCTTCACAATCACCGGGTGTGACCATGTAGACAGAATCTCGTTAGGGTTTGTGATTTTTACATTTGCCCAATGACCATAGTGAGTATTGCTGGGGATACCAAACGTAACAGTTTATTATTAGAGGTTGTGAGTACCTATACCACGTAGATAGGATATCTTTAGGATTTTAATCCTCCTTTGAGAGGCATTTAGAAGTTGGAGTACTACGTTAGGATAAGATTTATGGGTGACTTTAATCCTTTCTTTCTCTGTGGGTAATCCTTTCACGTTGATTGGAGGAAGTCACTCAACCAGGTCATGACAGGTCGTGCGTTTACTCACTAACTACTGTGAGCGTTTTTGGCATGACTTTCTTGTATAAACATAGAAACGATGCTCAGTCACTCACTGTTAATCTTCTGCAGTTTGCTGGCAAAGTGGGGATAAACCTCAGTGTCAAAGACGATCAAACTTAGTTCGAATCCTTGTTTATATGTGACATCTCCCAAATGGGGACATTACTTGGCAAGTGATGATGAATTTTAATATTAATATTATTATAGTTTATGAAATTGTTAATAAAACTTTAATAAAATTGTGCTTCACTCTCACGAAATATATTGTCTGTGAGTAAATTTATATGTCACGTTACATCGGCATTTTTCAGTGATATTGGGACTACATGAAACATGGCTGGTTTTACATTTCTGATACAGGTGCTTGACTGACTGAGTAGTTCATGATCAATTAGATATGTTTAAATCACTCAAGTTTGCAACAATAGATGAATAAGTTGATACATTTGGACTGCAGTTACCGATTAACAACTTAAGACATAGAGACAGGGAGGAGATATATAACCAAACCTATGGTCCTGTTGAGACAGTTGACAGTTAGAACGTTGGATTAAATGACAGTAACTAATTTGAACATTCCCCAGTAATATCATAAAATACATCATAACTCATAACAGTCCGAGAGACAGCTTCCAGCCATATACTAGGATTGAAGGGACAATCGCTTTTGACAGTTTAAAAAAAAACTCACCTTAAGGTGCTTGGCAAGTCAAAACTGACCTCTCTGAATATGTTTTTTAGGTTTGACAGCAACTATGCTTGTGGATTTCAGATTTGTTAGCTAGATGTTATTACAATAAGCGAAAATGTCTTAAAAGTCCACAGTTTGTTTAATAGTAAAAAAGTGTGTTATAGATCTATCAACGTTTTCTTTTATTGAGTGAGTGAGTGAGTGAGTATGGTTTTACGCCGCTTTTAGCAATATTCCAGCAATATCACGGCGGGGGACACCAGAAATGGGCTTCACACATTGTACCCATGTCGGGAATCGAACCCGGGTCTTCGGCGTGACGAGCGAACGCTTTAACCACTAGGCTACCCGACCGCCCCTTCTTTCATTGAACATAATATTTGCACTATATTGCTGTAAGCTGTAAATAATCTAGCCTCCCCATGTACGTAACTTACATATATTTATGTATGACCAGAACAGCAAATAAAGTTCTGGTAGATAGGTATCTCGGAGATTTAACGTGCGCTTTCCGACTTAAGCCTATCTCGCACACGGGGAAGTACTTATACTATTAGGGTAAAAAAAGCGTAAAAAGAAGTGTGTGTGGGGGGGTGGGGGGGGGGGGGGGGGGGGGGGGGAGGGCGGGGGGGGGGGAGCGTGGGATGGCACGGCGTCGGCTGGCGAGCGTGTGTGGCTAGAAGTCTAGCGGCGGTATCCTTGTAGTAGTCTCTTGGTCAGCTTCTCATCCTGGGGGTCGGGATTCTGGTAGAGACTCTTGGCAAGGTGGGCGGCGGTATTGGCGACGAAGTGGTTTGAGGTCCTTACGCCACTTCTCTGGAAGAAGTGGTACAAGTCTGTGTAGTTTGTGATGTCGTACTCGATGTCCTTTCCCCACTTCTTGTGCACCATGACGAAAGGGACTCCTTGTTTGGCGTAGAGATGTACCTTTGGGGTGTTGATCTGGTCAACCTTGAGTTCCGGCCGGGCCTTGTAGTGGTTGATCGGAATGTCTGACTTTTCCACTTGTAAATAAAGTTCTTTGGTATGACCTCTTTTATCCCTGCTGACGTTATCCTAATGTTCAATTTCAGTATGCCTCACCAAGCGTAAGAAAGCATTGTACATGTTCTGATAAACCAAACTGATGCAATTAAGCAAATGAATATTTGCTGTGGGCAAATATCTATTTTCTATATATATTTGTGGATATGAAGCATTCTAGTTAATTGTGGATACACTGGGCAGACAGAATTGTGTTTATTTCCAGGCCATCCTGATCGTCGTTTACTACTATATGGTGTATGGTTGGAGGCAAGATCAAAGGCGCCGCACAGCATTTATTAGATAACAGAAGGGGTCGTCCGTTTCGCTTTGAACAACCACCCCACCCTCTCTGTAGGAGTTATATAATCGGTGCGCAAATAACTGTGTCAAGTCCACTGCCGGGCCGATGCGGTGTCAGTGTCAGCGATGAACATGAATGCTCAAATTATAGACCTGTAGCACTCACAAGTTGCTTAGCCAAAATATTTGAAAAGTGTATATTCAATTCTCTGATAACAGCAAATATAACCTTAGAAATAGATTCAACATACAAACAATCAAATATAGAACACAGACCTATGCTTAAACATTTCTTCTTGATATGATCAACCTGCGGAGCCCTCTATCCGATGAAGTAACTAATGCTCGCTCATTAAAAGAAATCAAATCCTTAATTTCTGATGCAATTATTAATAATTTTGACTTCAAATATTTTCATAGATCATGCCAAATTGTCCACTGTCGCCTTAGGCTCGGCTGCAGTGACTTAAACGCTGATAAGTTTAGACGACATGTATCAGACATACCAGACTGCACTTATGGATATCACCTTGAAGATGCATTTAACTTTTTCTATAACTGTCAAAAAATACGATAATATCAGAAACACTGTGTATTTCTACACACATGGGTATGGTCTAAAAATGATATTACATTGCAGTGGTTAAGCAGTTCTACGAACATGACTCTTCTTAAACCAGTTCACGACATTATTGTCAAAAGCAAAAGGTTTGAGTAGCTTAATTTTATGCATGTAGTAAAGGAAAACTGCATTACCTTATTTCACAGACACCACTTGCTTCAGTGTATTGGCTTCGCGGATCGTGTATTTCATTTGTGCATTTTGTATGTTTATGTTCATCACTCTCTTATATATATCCAGCTGTTGTTAAGTTGTTACCTGGAGAGGTATTACATAAGCAAGTTTTGCTTGTTTACCGATCCAGATTGCTTTTGAAATAAAAATACGTTTAAGCCAATACAGCTAACCCTAAAACACATGATTGTAAACTATTCAAAAAGGGGCACTAATCTCTGGCTTCTTCTCGGGTGTCGGACTCAAACTCAAACTCATTTATTCTTAGAATAACATGACATACAATTATCTACAATTTTTATTATGTACAATTTAACAAAAATAATAAAAATAGGATACGTGGATACTAATACAAATTACCAATTGTATTGTACACACTGGTAAGGAATTTAGATAGGCCTTTTAGATTTCTTACACTGTTAGTGGTCATAATTTTCTTAAATGTTTGGAAACTTAAGATATTGCTTATTTAAGTGTTCATATCGCCGTTGGTGAAAAGCTTCACATCGGAATAAATAATGCAATTCATTTCCCACAGCGATAGAATCACAGAGTGGACACTGGCTGTCTTCCCTTGGAATGTTCAGCAGTCGACCAGTTTCAACTGGTAATCCTTGGTTAGAAAGTTCTGACTTTTAGTATTGGGAGAAATATTGATTTCGAGAGCAGTAGATATTTCTCAAATGAAGGTTGATTCTTCAGGTAATACGACCTTTGGATTTCCGCTTGGGCTTACTAGCTGTCGTGAGTCAATTTGCTCGTTAACGCAACCGAGCGTGACAAGAGACTGGGCTACCAGTCTGCAAGGACAGCTAAATAAACTTACGCATTTTTGAAAACTGATTGGTTACCCGTGATCTATGAAGATTTCGACAAAGGGCGCATTGTGATTAATTTCTTCAGCCTAAACAAACAGACAAATAACGGCGAAAGCTCATCGGATGTCGTTATTTGGAAATACCCCTGATGGTTACAGTTTAATAATAAAAAAGTATCCCTGAGCGAAAGCATTTGCGGATTTCGGATTGCGTGGATGATACAATTACTACTCCCTTGTTGTCATCCACATTTTCTGGTATAACCCTACACTTGTGTATTTGTCGTAATTCACTTGCTGCTCAGTTAATGAATTTATAACATGTATACTTAGTTGTAGCACACCTCAGATTACCCGATAAAGGTTCAAATTTGGTCTTTCTCGACCTGGGGTAATTATTCAATCTAAATCCAGGTTTGAAGTGAGGTGGAATGTGAGTTATGTGATATGCACGTGGCAGCCCAGCAAGAGATGTATGATCAGTTGCTTTACTTTTTTTGGTAAATCAACTGATCATTCCCAGACATCAAAGGGTCAACTGGAAATACGCTGATTGATTAATTACTGTTATCTTGCACAGTGGATATGTCAAAAGTAAGTGTTTACATGTGAAGGTAGGTTTAATAAACCTAGGGAATACACTCATATCATGGCGTGAAGTACAGATGTAAAAACAACATACTTTGTTCAAAGGGTAACCGATAATACATTGACTGGTTGTTCATTGTTATCTAACTCAATGTATGTTTTTAAGAACCGTGGACATTATAAAATAGTTGTCACGTGGGCTTTCTCAGCTAACTTGGCACCTATGTGAAACAATTGAAACAAACTAAGTGATCAGTTAAGAAACAAACACGGGTTATAATATTCGATACATTTAAATAACGTTTAAAAACGATATATTTAAATATTTTAATATATTTCATATATATTCCAAATATTGTTTCCAAATAATTATTATTAAAGTTTTTTGATTCTCACATAGACATTTGACATCGAATAAGTATTTTTGTACAGCGGCAGACGCAATGGATATTGTTTCTTTATGTTGATATTCCCGGATACATTATAACTTTGGTAGGTTGTAATAATGATATTTGCATTTTGTTTTCATTCATTCGCTGCAGCTTTGAACAGAATCATTCTTGTTCCTTTCCGTTTGGTTGGGAAGTTTTTCGATGCGCGATAGACGTTGTTTTCACAAGTATTTTCTTTTGTAAGCGTGTATATGTTACAGTCATGTGTAAAATATGATTCACTCAGGCAATTTATTAAATATCTAAATATTTCAGTCATTTTACAATTTGACTGAATAATCTATTCATTTATTTAACCGACTGACTAAAAATGATAAAGACGATCAAAAGAGCTTAAACACATCACAATATATTAATTATGCTAAGAAAAGAAGCCAAACAATACAGAACTGTACTTGGTGATGATATTAAACATAAACAAATATTTGGAATTCATTATCATATCAATAAAGATGGACATATTTTTCAGTTAATTTGTAAAATAAACTGAATATTTAGGCGTTTAATAAATTTCCTTAGTGAAATCTGTTTACATTTTGAATGTAAACATATACACACGGTAAAATAAGCAATGTTCAGATGAAATATTTACTTTGTGTTGCAAGTCAAAATAGTGTACGCGAAGATCGCACAATTACCAAGCACGTGACTTATCAAAACTGCATCACCATTACCGATGCTCCCCACTAATATACCTACATTTCCAAAACTGTATTTCATTTTTATTGATCAATGTGACCATACGTCCTTCTACTATCAATAAAAATGCGCTTACGAATGGCGAGCACAGGTCGCGAACAAGTCTAGATTTCTGCTATATCATCCGGGTACTCACTGGGAAAATACAGTAATGCACAGGTAACAACTACTCCCGCGGAATTGCTTTAGATCAGTGCTCCTTTGTACGTTGAACTAAAATGATGTATCAAGGATCAAGTAGAAGATACATTGACCGTAGCGCTGGGAGTTTATTCAACAGACCCGTGAAAATAACACTGCTGTGTCTTATTATAATATAAAAATACCTGTTTTTAGTGAACAATATCCTTATGTATAATTCTGTGTTCATATATTGTATATTATTTGTGAGAGAAGGTGACTAAGTAGAAATTTTGAAATACGACAGACAGACAGAGGATTGGGGATAAACAGAATGACTGGGTTAAAGTATATGCATGACTGTATGACATGGTGTGACTTGGGGCGTATATGGGTGTGTGCTAGGAAGGGTGAGCAGATTGAATACAGAATGGTTGATTAACACGGTTGAACTTATGCATGATTGAATGTGTGGGGGTCTTATTCAATAATGTGTGTAATTGAGTGACCGAGTTGGATTACTGTAACTCGCTGATCTGGGACATGTATAATGGGGGTTAGGGGGTGGGGGTTTGGGGGGGGGGGGGGGGGGGGGAGGGGGGTGCTAAGGTGTGTGAACTGGTGACTAGGTTGATCCTACATGATAGTATATGTCCGTGTGTCTGGGGAGTGGGGCATGGGGAAGGGTGGTGGGTGGATGGGGTTTCTGTATACATATGAAGATATTGTTAGTTATAATATTTTATTTATGTATTTTATTGATTGTATAATTTTAGATGTCTTTTAGGCCAGTAATGGCCAGGTGTATTATGTACACATGACACATTAATAAACTTTATTATTATTATTATTATTATTATTATTATTATTATTATTAATTTTAGATGACGCAGTCAAAGCTCACTTCTCCTGGCGGCCATTATCGAACGGCAAGCTAAAACACAACCCCGCGCTTACGTCTACAGGTCTCTTCCTGTAGTACGGTAATTAGTATTCTCTCCCTCAAGTGTATCCTCAATGATATAACCCACCCTCATTAATTACATGCTGCTCTTTTCAAGCCTCACGGCTATGGAGCTGAGATAAAGAGTCCAAGTCATCATAAAGTAATTAGGGGCCAATAAAAACAATGCGCCGCCAAACCTCATACATATTATCACTGAAAGTCGTTCTACAGACGGTTCATGTCAAATCACAATAAAAGCATTTCAATTGCAATAACATGTTCCAGGACCATGTATTCTCTTAACACCATCGGATTTAGAAGCAATGGTCGTATAAAACAAGACAGATCTATTTAATCACAACAGTTTTCATGTTATTCCCACAAAATCACATAAAGAAAGGAGACATTAGCAAATACATGTGTATTATCATTTTTCGTCAGTATAACAAAATTTTCTCTCCTTGTTACCACCTCCAGGTTCTGCTTAACACGGGTCCTCCTTTGGTCAAAAGTTTGTTCCCCCTCTAATGAGTGTGTCACGCGTTGCACACGAGTGGCGGACGGGGTGCACACCCGTGTGCAACGCGTTGCACACGGGTCTCACACGCGTGACCAACCCGATGCACACTGGTTGCGTAACGCGTTGCCCATGCGTGTAAGGGGAATGAACTTCTAGGCAGTAGTGTATTAAGGGTCCTTTCCAAAAGTAAGGCATATACAGATTTTTACTTTTGATGAGATTATTCCTGTATTGTTGCTTAAACGTTTATGAAAAAAAACACAAAAGTGTTTGGAACAAACCTTTTTCTTTGGAGACGTGACTTTGGATTCTGTCAAAACTGTCATCAACCACTTTCACAGGAGGCAGTCGATGGTAAAAAGATGTTTTATTTTCCTCTGAAGCTTTGTTCTTTTTCACAGTAACTGTAATATATGTACATATAAAGTAATAGCCTCAATAACCATTATTGTCTTAAAGAATGTGACATAAAGATATATTATGACCACCAAACAAGGGCGTTATGTCAGTGATTGGGATGTATACTACTTAAATAGTATGATTCATATGCCACAAACCACTGCCAATGTCAAACACACTTTGCATTTACAAACGTTTTGACAACAATTCATAAGTCACAAAAAATATGCATGGAACGGAACTCAGCATACATATTAAGGGTCCTTTTCAAAAGTAACGCATATGCAGATTTTTACTTTTAATAAGATTATTCCCGTATTGTTGCTTAAACGTTTATGAAAAAAACACAAAAGTGTTTGGAACAAACCTTTTTCTTGGGAGATGTTCCTTTGGATTCTTTCAAAACTGTCATCATCCGCATCTACACGAAGCGGCTGATCCCCAGTATATTTCATACCATAACGTGAAGGTTCCATCACCAAATAGTCATCTGAATTCAAGAAAAGTTATGATTCACAAACAAGGACGTAATGTCGGCGGTTTGGATGTCTATTGTTTAAATGGTATGATTCATACCACAAACCACTGCTAATGTCAAACATACTTTCATTAACATACGTTTTCATATCAATTCAGAAGTCAAGAAAATATTATGCTTGGAAGAAACAACAACATACTGACCTGATTCTCGGGAGATCTAGGCTTCTCTCATGAGGCGCGAATACCACTCATTAACATGTAATAGTTTCAAGGTACTGGGATTGTACATTTCATATGATATTGGTCCCCGATTGTCATAAAAAACGAGTCCATCCACTGCTGCAATAGCAATTTCTAAAACATAATAACCGTCACGTTCAGTTTTATGAAAGGCAATTTGTATCAGTTCTGTCACTGACCTCGGTGTCAAGGGAATTACTTGATTGTTGTAAGACAGTATCAATATTTCCTTGGCTATTACTCTCAGGAGAGTACCCTTCACATCATCATGTTTTCCCCTTGGAAGTTGAATGCCATCTCTGCAAAATGTTTTCCTCTTATACAAATCTTGCTCAGTGATCTCTTCTACAATACCAAAGAAAAACGAACCTCCCCCTTCTATTTTTGAAAAAGCACTTATATACTCTTTCAACTTTAAAGAATTCCAGATATAGTCACATAATTCTTCATTGTCTGCCAATAACTGTTCTTTGAGAGATGCGTCTTGATGGGTAAATCCTTTAACTTGGACACAACGACTCTCTTGTAGATTTTCAGCTGATGTTCCTCTTACTCTGGCTTCTTTATCTTGAAATTCGTATTTATCTTTGAGGAACTTTACAATTGTAGTGTTTGAAGGATCTACAATGCTGCTGTCCAAGGGTATTTTTGTATTAAAGTCTGCAGTTACAACTGTGGGAGATGGCAGAACAGTGACTGCAACACAACCTGTATATCTTATATCATCTCCAGGTAACCACCATTTTTTGTAAACTCTATCAAAAAGCGTTCCATCTTCTATCAGTGAATTAAGTTTGCCATCAACAAGTTCATGTAAAAATTCAAGACATCTATCATTCTCTTCAATACCATCCAAATGTATTAGTATTGCTCCTCCTCTACTGTTCCGAAGTGCCGACGTTTTTGTGACAAGTTCATTTACAAATGCTGATCTTTTCGATCTTCGTTCGTCTTTTCGTATGATAGGACCGTTTGGTGGGTTGATAAGGGAGATGCTCACATGGAGTGGTAGAAATCTACTTTCAGGTGAAGGAATATCTAGAGGATCAATTTGTCTTACACTTGAGCACTGCTGACAGTCTAAACCTGAAACAGAGGAAGTTGTATATCTAGACTACATGCATACTTATTTTATCTTATATTTGTAACAATGTACTTAATAAGTTATCAACAACTTTTTAAAGAATACGCTGCTTTGGATACAAATTGTATCAATTAATTCAGATACATGTGTAATAAATAGTTTGAGCAGTGAGGAGACTGGAGTGACTTTAAATACGATCCTTGTTCAACATATATGTACATATGTATATTGTACCTTGATATACATGTACGTTATATTCGATCTGTTCAGAGCCTGCTCCTCCCTGTGCCATCATTCCAACACATACAAGGCATCCTGTTTGTCAACTGGCCTGCACCTGCGATAGTTATATGATAGTATTTGACCGTCCATTTAGTAATCCACATTACATCTCACATTACATCCAGACCAACCGAATTATATTATAATACATTTGTTAATTGTATACCATTTGTTGGCTTCACACTAAATTCTTTTGCGTACAGATTTCTTAGATAAGTTATTGTTTCACTTTGGAACTCGACATGTCCTCATTATTAGGTGAGTACAAACAATATACATGTACATATTTAACGTATAGAGCGATGAATTAAACAATTGGGTGATACAATGGTGAGATACGATGGAGTGATGAAGCGATGGAATGAAGAGATGCTATGGGACGATACAATGGCGCCGGTATGGGACGTGATAGTTCTCAACAGCGTTTGTGTTCATAGTGCTTTCCAAGCAAAGGATATCGTTCACTTCATTAATGATGTATGATTTAAAAAACTCAAAATGTGTTATTCTATGTTCCACGACTGACTGGTGTGGAATCAAAATTGAATGTTAGTTTTCAATAACTGCAGAAAAGATCCGGTACTTGTTCCAAATACTTTCATCCCTTATAATATAAGCACCTGTTGAAACAAGAGCGAAAGTAGTAGTTATAACAAATTTAACTCTAATGTGGAATGAAAACATAGATCTTCTGTGTTTACAAAAAAGAATCATGTACTTAGAAATTATCAAGGGGCTTTGTCAATTAGGAATTACACCTCGCTGATGTTATGGGATATTGCACATATTTTTACTTGTTAACTGTGATAATATCTATCGGAACTGCTCAATATAATTTTTAATCATGCATATCCCAGTCACCATTCCAAGATTTTGAGTTCTCCTTGATCGAAGAAACTTCACGATGCGCCGAATATTCATGGTTAGTATTGCAGTCTCCTCTCAGTGCCATCTGTACTGATACTTACTTCTGTCGAAGGTAGTATGTGCTGCAGCTAGCTGCCAGCGTCAGAAACAATGTCCACCGTTTCAGATCTTTCTTTAATTGCTAAGGTTATTTGAAAATTTGCAGCATAACTCGGTTACTCACAAGTGTAATTTCAGGCAGTACATTTACTTACCCAGGAATGGTAAGGGTACTTTAGGTTGGGTCAATCGGGTATCTCAGGTGGGGAAAGGTCATCTGCTTTGGTTCAGACACGTTCGAATCATAGCAAGTCATGTATTTCATTCGCTATGAAGTAAGATACCCCATTTGGGTCGATATAGGATTCAAGTTGATCTCATTTGGGCACTCTCATGAGTTCCACTGTAATGGAAGCACTTTATAACGTTTGACACATCTAACACCGGAGTGGATTTGGAACATAAACACTCCATGTCTAAGTGACCAGCTTTGATAGACTTTTTAATATTGGCAAGACAAAGAGTGAAAAGATAGGTATTGGTTTGGATAATGTCTTAATCTTCTGATTTTCTACTAAACCGCTTAACAGCAGTGACCCCTTGATGTTTCAATTCAGCTGCAAGCTGCAGGGGGGGGGGGGGGGGGGGGGGGGGGGGGGCGTGTATAAACACCTATCCTAGTGGTAAATTTGGCGTCTTTGGGTAATTTTGGTGAACTCTCCAAGGATCAGGCATTGTGTTACTAGTTTGTAATCACTTAGCACAGTCCAAGCTTTGGGTGATCCATCTGTTAGCAGGGAAGCAATTCCATGTGTATTCCCTTGCTGTGCGGTTCTAACGAGATTGATTGCACTTACGATGTTGCTGTCACTTCAAGGATTATTCTTTTCAGGATATCTCTTCTTCAAATTAGAATACTTTTGAAGACTTGGAAACTTTTTTAACGAATAACCAGTTCTTTATTCTTTGTAACAATGTTTCGGGGCTACTTCTTGCCCTTCAGCAGGTGAATACTGGGTAAGCAAAGCCTTAAGCTATTTTCAACTGAATGTTTATATGTATGATTACTATAGCCCTCAAACTATAACGCACAAGTTTAGGGTATCCAGAAAATCTGTTTCAGGAGGTTTCAAGAGGTTTTAAGAGGCCCGAACTATTTGGTCTATGCAGATGTTCAAGAGGTGTTCTGAGGTCAAGAGTGAACTATTATATACATTCAAAATATGATGAAGGCAATATTCACATATGTAGATGAAATTAAAAGGAAAGATATGTATGTACCAGTAACTGTATTCCAGATATTTAATATTTTGGCTCATGGTTCTAAGAGGATAATATTGTTTATTTCAGCACCTAAATGATTCCATCCAATTGGCATGTCTGTAAGTCTGTAACAGAAGCCTCTTTAATAATTATACCCGACGAAAGATATTCCTAAAACTAATTTTGTTATTGATGCTCGTGTGACAATATTGTGAAACTGGTTTTTGCTGTTTCTGCATGAAGGAGTCTCTTAATTGTTCATATAATACGTACTGTAATAGACCACATCTGTTGTCTAGGGGCAGAGCATCCGCATGGAGAGCGGAAGGTGCGGGGTTCGATTCCCGGTCTCGTCATACCAAAAAATGTTATACCAAAGATGGAGCTTGTTGTTACCCTGCCTGGCGCTCAGCATTGAGGGGCTTAAACAAGGACTGGTCGGCTCGGAGTCAGTATACTGTGTCTTAGTGGGATATTCCTGTTATACTGTGGCATGGTACGTCATTGGGCTAGTACTATTAATCGGCATCAGTCCGGACTAGTACAAGCACCCACTCACACACGTGCATGCACGTCGCTATAGAAGTGCAATACTCTTGGACGCAGCGTTAAACCCCATTTCACCTCACCTCACAAACCTCAATATGAACAAAATTTGACAATGGCATAAATATGCACAGTGCAGCAATGTGAGTTGCCTCATCACATTCAAAAGCAAAGCATGTAATCTATACGCGTACACGTTTTCAACTTGGCAATACCAATTAGTGAAACAGAAATGCCTTAAGATAAATTATTGCTTCAAAACGATCATAACATCAGATTAGACAATACACACACCCATACTTATTATCACCAAGAGTTTGCCACTAACGTGGCTATACCCCCCGCCCCTGTTGCAGAATTTATGACATAATTCAATCTTAACCGAGGTGGAACTTGTCATGGAGATTGTAAAAAAAGAAGAGTTTGGAACCTAAGTCCATCTTGTTGCCATGGAAACGTAAAAAATGAAATTTTAAAAAAAAAATTTAAATAGCAAAAGGCACCAGTTTAGTATGTACCTGAGAAACCTGCAAAGTTTCATGAAAACGAACGGTTTCTGAGTTATGCTCCGGAAACGAAACGTGACGGACGGACGGAGCCCGTTTCTATATCCCCCGCCAACTTTGTTGGGCGGGGGATAACAAGTAGAAACCTTACTTTTGAAAACATCATACAAAATAGATCTGGTTACTACTTGAAAATAGCCGTTATCAATCGTTATGGTAACCAGGCAGCTAGCATAAGGAACTTCGCTCTCTTTGTCAGTAGAGTTAACAACTTGAAACTAGAGTAAAAGTAGGTATCGCATTTAGCCAAGAGGCAGATTCTGAGGGTAATCAAGAGCAAACACGGTTTTCAAAACATGAAGACGTCAGCTCCTTTGTGCCCAGACATTGAGGATACGTTTTATAGCATTGACTCATTTTTTTATCAGCAAAGTGAGCAAAAAGGAGGCTGTGATAGATCTCAAAGGGAGATCTATGAAGGGCAATCTTTCGTTAAATCGCCTGCCTGAAATGCCCGGTGAAGAGCTGAAACTTAAAGATTTTGTCAAGCAAGAACTCAAATATGTGACTGATATTAAGCTTGTTCACTCTCATTAAAAAGGGTCCGCGAAAACCGAACCGACCCTGTATTGTTGACATGTTTTCTGACGAGGGGTGGAAGATATTGACCAGGACAAGGAACCTCAGATTAACAGTTTGGTGTGAGAAATTCCCACTGGAAATCGTTGAACCATGGCGAGAGTTTGTTGAAAGAAGCATAACGTCGAGGACTGAAAGCAAATCTGACAGTTGGCAGACATCAACATACATATACATCAACGATCGCAGATGATATCAAGCATTGGAGCCTTTATACACCATTGTACTTGGAAAATAGGATGACAGACTGCCAGAAAACATGCGTAAAATTGAGGAGGAATTGATCAGAAGCAAATACAAAAAAACAGTTGTGATAGCAATAGTCGGTGATCAAGCTTCTTAGGCTTGGAATCCGGGTTGATAAGTGATCTTCACACGAAAGCTGGTCTTGACGTAATGAAATGTGAGCAATGAGACAGGCACGCTCTTGTCCCACTTATATCGTTCAGCGAGCTTCCAGAACTTTCCCTCGTGGGGACCCAGGCTAGAATGTGTCCCCAGCACCATATTGCTGGTCGTACGATGCGACCGAATTGGTCAGACTCCCTGTGTCGGCAGAGGAAGGGAGTCTGGTGGTTGAGGGCGCCAGAGCTGGGAATATTGTGGCCAATATAGTCAAACACACCACTTTGACCCCCGTAACTTTACCTTGAAGGGGCGGTAGAATGGGTCCGATCTCTATTAATCGGCTGGTCATGTCATGCCCTGTGTATGCACTTTTTCGCACAGGCTTTTGGTATTAAAGAAATATTTATTATAAATATCTATTGTATGTGTATCATTCTATAAACTTGCTAAGAGCCCCATGTCGAGAAGGCGATGGCTCATGGACCAATCTGGTGATGCTGAACTCCGAATTCTTTACGTCTCCAATTAACTGTCATGGGCCGAACCAGCCTGACCTTGAATTTGGTAGACAGCTATAGCTTTTCGTGCAAATTTGCTGGAGTAAAAAAGGCGATATGTAGAATCTGATGAGACTACTACACCCACTCGATTTGACTATTGGACACGTTTCTTGGTAATTGAAGCTTTGGACAAAGAACCCATCAAATTGAATCCATTTGCTATCTCCAAAGGTATCAGGTGACAAATGTCAGGCTCTCTCCTGTCTGTCAATCTGTCAATCTGCTGAAATTAAAAGAGTTTGTCTTGTTCAAGATTGCTGTCTCCGTGCACAAGACACTGAACTCAT